CATATAAAATGACAAAAATTTGATTTCGGAGGTTGATTATCTCGCTCATCGAACTATCCATTACTCAAAATCAAAAAGGGCCCTTTTCAGGGCCACCACATCTCTGTAAAAAATTCTAAACTATTTCAGCCTTCAACAAACCTCCTACTACAGGGTATATCATATGAATATAGTAATTTTTTTTTGTAAATTTGTAAGATTTTCCAACTAGACGTAGGCAGTAAACTAAACCCCCCATTACACAAAAGTGATTAAAATTTGTTCATCTTACAATGATAGCCGGATTACGTGTCACACGTACGACATGTCATCGTATCAATTGTCAAAATCTACAGCTGACTGACTCATAGTGATAGGACAATGGCCTAACAATGTAAAATGACAGTAGCAGGGATCCCAAAGTAGCAATCACAGACTGTTACTCAGATATTAAGATACCAGTGATTGCTACACTTTTCATTTCTTGATATTTAGTATCATATATGGCCGATATAGTACATTACTGATACTCTGAATAGTATGAATTAATGTGATATGTATTATGTGATTGAGATACTTATTACCACTAATTATTATAGTATTATAATATTATTATTTAATATTTATCAGGTAAATAATAATTAGTACTTTTGTAGTGTTATACTGAATACTGATACCTATTGCAATTTATCAGATTTATGTAGGTATATGGAAATATAGTGTGTATAATACTGTATAGTGATCTGTTAGTAACAGTAAGTATTGTCAGTTATTACCCATCTATTATACTAAAATTAAATATTAATTATATGGGTACAGGATACGATACGTCAATGCTTAATGTATTAGACAATAGTCATTAGTGATTATTGAACATTAAATAAGAAAATATATTCAAATATCATAATTTTGTAAAATCTTAAAACAAAAATTATTGAAAATTGAAATATAAACTGCCAATTTACAGGTAATGARTAATGACCATCTAATAATTTCCATTTTGGTTTAAAAACAGCATTAAAAGCATAGCCAAGTAATATAGAAATGTGTTTCATAGCAATACGAGTTTACGAGTATATTAAACATTTTTAGTTGCATATTTGCATTTACACAGTGATTCTATTCTAAAAATTAAAATTAAGTAGCTTGAAATAACAATAAACAATATCAGATAAGTGATAAGATAGTGATTATTTTCACTGCTACTTTGAAAATAAATCACAGTTTACCATCTCTACTGACCAGTGACTCAGTGACTCATTGAAGTCTTGTTCACCCAAACATTACCAGACAACCCCAAGTTTTTTCTAAAAAGGAGCCAGTTACGTGAATTATTAGGGAACTAAACTAAAAAAAAATATTTATATTTGGTTTTAACAATKAAACTCCCAGTCAATTACCACTGTGGATTCATATCTCATCATCTACACGTGTTACTTTTAGCTCAGCATATTACATGCTTATTGTGCACTAATTCTACAGATTTGTATATATTATTGTGAACGAAAAAATTGTATTAACTCACCTGAAAACTTCCAACATCAATTTGGTTGATTTTAATTTTTAACTACGAATACCGAGTTTTAATAAACTTTACTTAGCTTTCATATTGTAATAAGTTATGCTTAAAAAATGCATTGATAAAATTATATTTTATGATTTAGGATTATAATTCTATGATAGTTGTCAGTTTATCATTATTAGTTTTAAAAATCAGAAATATTCAGTGTTATCAAAATAATTTACGTACTTTTATTTAATATATTTTATTAACGCTAGGATTAAAATAAGGATTAGATTATAAGATATTATGTTATACCTATAATACCGCGATATACATAATATTAATAATTAATTTAGCTCAAGTTATCATTATCATCCAATAACATCTTGTCTCACACTGAAATATTCTGGTCTTGAGAGAATTCTTCAATCTACGAAAAACATTAGACATGGGCAGATCGTTGCATAGTAAGTTCAACGTATTGGAAACACGTTTACTAGTCAGTACGGCTCGGTGCATTACCCAAAATATTTAAATTTAAAATTTAAAGAAAAAGTATGACGAATGTAACCATATTATGTAGGTTACTAAACCACATCTAATATGTATAAAAAAAAACAYATTTATAAGTCTAAGCGTTAAAAAAAAATTAGAAATAACATGTAAACTCTACAAGGTAAAAAAAAATTGGTACCTTTGTAAGTTCTCGTGTAGAAAAAAATATATAATTTTAATTATTGAATAATTAAATTTCTTTAAATGTAAACCATAAAAATATTATTTTATTTTATAATATTATTTCAGAATATTATAATATTGAATTGTATAAATATGAATTAAATATCTTATTACTCTTTGGACTTGTATTATAAAATAAAATTTAAAATTATATTGGGTATATTCCATATTTGAGCTATAAAATGTATGGAAAACCTAACCTAACCTTACCTTTTTACATGAATTAACCAATAAACAAACTTAACCATCTTCAATCTTCAATCTTTCATACGCTAGTAGAGGCGCAACCTAGAATAGTTAACGGCAAAGCTATTGTATCTCAGCTATACTGAAAACAAACCCAGGAAGGTTTTCTAAGTTTGCTTTTGGACACATTTCAAACAATGGTCGGTTTGACAATTTACCGTATTTTATATTTATAGCCCTGTGTTTAAGGTTTACTTTTTGTGCATTTATTAAACACCTAAATCTGTTTTATAATAAATTTAAAATTATGAGTAGTTTTGGTTTAGATACTCGACAATAACAAAATTTAATAAATAATCAATCAACGGTCACAATATTGTAGCTTCTTAGGACATGATACCCGGATACCTATGTACTATGTAGTCTCCGTACTAACGTATTTCAATTTACAAGTGCATAATGAAACAATTTTATGYCCAGTACACACGTTTAACTCAATKGGTTTACAAATTTGATTGTATATACCTCTTGATTCTTATTAAAGAATTTTAATTTTGAAACAACGTATCACGACTCACGAGTATATTCCTAAGTACAAAAAAAGGTACAAATCTTAACAACTCTTTGATACGCTCAAAATTCGTAGTTAACATAAGAAACACATGTTGGATAACGTCTCTTTAACATCTATATGGGGAATTATGTCGTTATCGTCCCTAGTTTCTTAATCGAGTATATTTTGTTGGTTTAGAAATGTTTAATGAAAATTGGGGTCCTGAAAAGGACCATTTTAAGGTATGAGGAGGTTCATTAGTTACTTTTAAATATTTACATTGCGCGTTTGTCATTTTTCATCATGCATCTACTTCTTCTTGGGCGCCTTAACTTTCGTCACGGCTGATGCTTTTTTGGCCTTCGGTGGTTTTGACGCTACGACCGGCTTTTTCGCCTTGACCAGCGATTTCCTAGGCTTGGCGGCAACCGCCTTRGACTTCTTGGCAGCGGGCTCGGCGGCAGTTGGTGCTTTTTTCGCAGCCAACTTCCTCTTTTTCGGAGTGCCGGCCGAAGCGGCGGCCTTGGCGGCGGGTTTCTTAGCTGCGACCTTCTTCTTGGAAGCAGCGGCGGCGCTTGGCTTCTTGGCGGCCACGGGCTTTTTCTTCGCGTCGACCGGGAGCCTGAAGTGTCCCATGGCGCCGGTGCCGTTGGTCTGCACCAACGCACCTTTGACCACGGCGGCTTTCAGGAACTTGCGGATGAACGGGGCGAGCTTGGCGGAGTCCACTTTGTAGTTGGTCGCCATGTACTTCTTGATGGCCGACAGAGACGAACCCTTCTTCTCGTTCAGCTCCTTAACGGCCGAGATCACCATCACGGCGGTGGACGGATGAGCGGCGGCGGCAGACTTGGTCTTGGTGGCCGGAGCCTTTTTCTTCATCGGTGTTGACGCGGCGATCGGTGCCACCGTTGTGGCTTGAACTGTTGCTGTAGCTGCCATGATTGTTCGAGAGACTTGGGCGGCGTTGAAGAGCAGACTGTAACTCTAGTAGTATGAACTCGTTGAATGGCGATGGTGAGAAATGGAAAAACGCGTTTATATAAAGCCAGCGCCGTACCGACTAGTAAACGCGTTATGAACGAGTTTGTTTTATTGTTCGAGAGACTTGGGCGGCGTTGAAGAGCAGACTGTAACTCTAATAGTATGAACTCGTTGAATGGCGATGGTGAGAAATGGAAAAACGCGTTTATATAAGCCCAGCGCCGTACCGACTAGTAAACGCGTTATGAACGAGTTTGTTTTTGTGGTTGAGATTACCTTCGGTATTTTGTTATTCACCGATTGTGAAATCACTTTTTTTTGTCGAAACTTAATTTTTTGGAATCCTCATACAATTTTGAATTTAATAATCTACTTGGTTTTKGCCGATAACTCGTTGTTTGCCAAATACAAGAGGTTGTTTCAGCACATCCGCGTGATTTTTGGTACACGCGAGTAACCGGCGATTTTARGTCGAAATCGATTTCATAAACATAAAATCGGTAATGCCTATCAATAATTAAGTATTTTCTGACAATTTGGTAAAATTTTTATGGAGTTTGGTCTTGACCGAGTCGAACTAGGCCCTTCCAAAATCGGCATGTTTGTAGTATTTTATCATTCAACGGTACAGCAGTTATTTCCTTTAGGTGGTTACTGTGCTAAGAAAAAGTATCAAATGTTTGCTCTGAAAAAAATAAAATAATAGCATGAAGTTATGTGCTATTTGAGAAGTGAAAAACAGAATTATTTTCAAAAGAACGGGGAAAGTAGATAACCTCTCTGTTGCACAGTTGTTGGTGTCGATCGTCACTGTAACGTATTAGGTAGTTRAATTTGAATTAAATGACAAATTATTGCATTCCGAAAAACAAGGCAGTCATATATTTTATAATAACATACACATTTTATAGGAAATTCCRTAAAACCATWRATAACATTAATATTTGTGTTCGAAACGTCATGCACTATATTATTATTAATTATCCATATCAGTTTTTAGATTTACAAACTGTTACCTATAACAACACTATTACTAGTTGCAGTAATTAATGCAGTTAATTATCCATTAATTAATCTAGGGTTAAACATTTTTGGAAACTAGTCGTAGACTCAGTTAACATTCTGCTTTTAACCATAGACTATAGASATTGTTTTTTTACTGCGTTTTACTCTAGGAAAAGTTCAAGTTTTGTAAATGTTCTGTAGTTACGTCATTCCATTATTGTATTTTAAGATACTAGATGTCGTTATTTCTGTATTTTACCATAATAAAATAATATTTCATACAGAGAATGATTTTTTCTTTTTACATATTTGTGAAGATGATACCTATGGAAATTTGAAAAGATAAGTCACCCAGAAGTAACATTCAGACTCCAATGATTAGATGATATTAGACAATATTATTATATATTATTATTTGTATTATATATATTAATTAATTAATTAATTAATTTTAAATTT